TCCCGGGGGGCCCCTCCCGGTGGAAACCCCTTTTTTGGGGACCGGGCCAACTACCTTGGCGGGGCCCCCGGGGTTCCCCCCTCCTTGACAAACAGGGACTGATCGGGGGATCTGTATCACCGGGCATTTTCCTGGGGGTTGCGCCCGGGGGTTCCTTCGTCTCGTGCGCAACCAGCCCCCCCTCCTCGCCTCGCATAGCCTCTGCTGTGAGTAGTCGTGACACGCTACCAGGGAGAGCCATCTCTTCCAAATGACATCGCACTCGTCCCCCCCTCCCAGGCGCTGTGCCTCCTTGCTGTGCGGCTGCCTCGCATTCTGGTGCGCGCGTCCGCGGTCCGGGCGGGGCGGGGGGGCGGGGGGGGGCACCAGCACACCGAACTTACACCGAACTTACACGTCGGTCCCCTCTCTCCACTCGCGATCGCAGGCGGGAGAAGCGAGCTCGTCGTCCGCAACAGCTGCCGGACTAGTCGCGCCGTGGAGACACCGCAGACCATAGTCGAGCGCGGAGAGAGGTGTTTCGCGTAAATTTGGGCTATCTTGCGCATGAATCCCGCATGAATGATGGCGCATGTCGTACAGTTGTAGCGACTCGTATTACGTATACCAAATATCTCATCTCTCGAAAGGACGAGTGAGAAGGCTGGGTCGAATTCGCGACAGCCTCCGCGCTCCGGCCGATGGCTGGAAGGCAGCCAAAATGGATGGCGGGTGTTGGGAGGGCGGAGTGGCTAGGTTCATGCAATTGCAGCCATTAAGGATGGCTGGCATGCCTAGATCGCACGGCTCTGCATTTTTTTTTTGAGAGCGCCTTCGTTGTTAATAGTACAAACCCAATGGTCCTCTGCGAGCGGTCCTTCGTTGCAGTCGCACACACGCACACGCCACGCCGCACCGCGCGCCCGCCCACCGCCCCGCCCAGGCGGGAAAGAGATGAGGAGATGGGACAGCAAAGGAGGAAGCCCAAACACGTATGGGAGGGTTCAGTAATGCGCCACGCTGCCCGGCGTTTCTCACTTTCCGGGACAGCCCCGCCCTTGTGAGGCAGGAAAGTGACGGCTACCCCGTACGCCCTGCGGCCTGCTACTCCGACGCCGACCGCCCATTCCCCCCTCCTCGATCCCTCCTCGAATTCTTCGGCCCTGACAAGCCACCCGACGCTGGGCCCCCGCCCTGCACGCCCCTGCCCCTCGCCGCCCCGCGCACACACCCCGGCCCGACACGCACATACAAGACAAACCCGGCGTCCTGCTCTCAAAAGAAAAAGAAAAAAGGGAATGAGGAGACCAGCGGGGGAGACTCCCCGCCTATGCAAGCCCCAGAGAGGGGCCGCCATCGCCGAAGCTGTGCCAAAGCATAACTCCAAAACCCGCAGCGGCCCAGGGGGCCTTGAGGGCAGCCTGCCGGACCGCCGCTGCACGGGGCTAGGCACCAGAAGATGAGTGGAATTGATGAATTGGGCCGTTGTCCGTGCCTCCCCTCTATACGTCAGAGTGGGACCTACGCCGCGCCGGGAAAGGGGCGCGCCCGGTCCTCGACGGAGCCGCGCGCCCCAAACGACCCAGGCGGCGAGTAGTCGACCTCGAACCTTCGACATGTAGTTGCCCATAGTTAGCGCCCGCCCGCCCCCCCCTCTGTCGCTTCGCAAACGAGAAAACAAAATAAAACCAAGCAAAAGAGAATTTTACAACAAAACTCCCTCGCACGACACTGGGCACAGGACTGGGCACGGGACTGGCTCGCACTGGCACTAACACAGGCAAAAGAGAAAGCGAGGCCAAAAAACGATTGCGTAAACGGCGTCACAAAGCCCGCCGGTTTTGATCGACAATCGTGAGATTGACCGCCGTCGACCAGAGAATCGACGGCAGCATGCAGCCGATGTGCCAGCTTGCACGGCGCTCGCGCCGCGCCGGCTGGCTCATCGAGCGCGTTCTCTGGCGCCATCCGGGCCACGCGCGGCGCCGCGCGTGCCTCGCGCCACTCGCCGCGGCCGGCACCACAGCGCCAAGGTCGCCTCGCAAACACCGCGCACAGCACCAGCATGCTGCCCACCAGGCAGCAGAGTGCTGCACCGGCGTGCAGCGGACGCTGCGGCGCTGCGGCGCCGCCTCCCCGCCCTGTCCACGGAGCAGACGAGCGGCGGCACGGCCTTCCACCAGCTGCAGGAGGTGCGCACTCCTCAAAGGAAGCACAGGATGCTCCCGCAGTTTACGCAGCTTTGTGCAGCGCAGCGCACGGGCCACGCCACACAAAGCCGACCCTCAGTCTGGCCAAAAGGCTGTCTGCGGAAGGCCTGGCAGCGCGTACTCGCCTCCTCCGCGGCCATGCCCTCCGCCCGGGCGAGCGAGGAGCGGGGACACAACCATTTCTGGAATCGTGTCCAAGGAAAATTTCTTTGACTCTTTTGTTGCACCTTGCTCGCCGCCGAGCTCGCGCCACCGACCTTCCGCCGCTCCCTTTCCCCCATCGCCGCAGCCTTAGCGTCATGGCTGCGCTACTGCTCTGCGCCTCGCAGTCCTCTGCGTCCGTCGACTACGGTGACGCGGTCGCAGCCTCTTTCGGGGACGGCTCCGCCGCCGACGACCTCTGGTTCGGCCTCGCGACCGCACCGGCACACGCAGAGAACCAGCTCAACGATACCTGGCTGGAGTTTGCAAGCCGCGGCGGTGTGCACGCCTGGAGGAACACGCCGCGGGCGGCGGAGCGGCTGCACTTCTGGACGGACCCGGAGGTCGACATCAAGCTCGCCGCCGACACCGGCGTCAGCGTCTACCGGCTGGGCGTGGACTGGGGCCGGCTCGTGCCGGACTGCAGCCTCGATCGGGAGACGCCGTGCGGCGTGCAGCAGTGGGAGGTCCTGGACCGGTACATCGAGATCATCAAGAGCGTGCGTTCGCACGGCATGAGAGTGATGCTCTCCCTCTTCCACCACTCCTTCCGCGCTGGGGCGTCACCTGGGGCCGCGCCGAGACGCCCCGCGGGGCGGCGGCGGGCGAGATGTTCACGCACCCGCGCTCGGTGGAGCACTTCGTCGCCTTCGCGCGCGACGTCATCGAGCGCTT